ATAAGGAAAGTATTACATGAATCGAAAGCAGACCGTGTGTACAATTTTCACAAAAGACAGTCACAAGATTAGTCAGAAAACATCTCATTCTTTATCATCTTCCTGGAAAGGCTCTGGATGTCGCATCCTCTTTGGGCGCAAACGACACAACCTGTCAGATGTTGAGGGGGAGTCAAAAGGAAAGGGAAAGCGGGCTCAGCGCACAATGTGGTTCTGTTTAGGGGCGAGCCGCGTGGGTCTCGGAGAAAGACGTCTCTGCCAAAAACATTACTCCTATCTCATTCCATTGCATTTGCTCCAAGGACGAGGGGGATCGGAAAACACGCCACAAATCATTTAGCATTAGAAGCCCATGGACGTATTTTACATGACGTAGGCGTTTTAATCACGAGACGTGCTCAAACACAGCTACGCGCTAATTTCTTCAATTAACTTTTATGACATTGGGAACGAACATATTTTTACCGAATCTCCCACGTTTTTGACTTACTGAGGGATAAAACGAGCACAATAAATGCAAGGGTGATGGAGGCCGTTCTTGAAATTGCTCAGGCAACAAAGGCATCTATGTTTTTTAAACCTGCTGACTCAGTTTGGCCGTTTCAAAAACGTTGTCGCTCGCACTTGGGTTGCGCTCAGCTGTTCGACCACCCAGGTGGCGCGTCAACCCTAACAGCCAATTAAAATCAGGCAAGCTAGGTAGCAGTTAAGAAACTGAGTGAGAAAACAAAGCTTTGTTAACACTGAATTATTCACCCTTTAAATATGATGACAACGTGTTGAACCTGAATGACCTTCAGTCAGTTTTACTTTAGTTTGACTTTTTAGTCATAGCAATGTAATAAGTTTGACTTTAATTGTAAAACTCAGCTTTTTGTTGTTTTTCCATGCATGTGCTGTGGAAATAAAGTTGGTATAAACCATACCAAACTATTCAGATCGAGATAAATGACACCAAACACTAAGACAATTTGAAATGTTCGATTCAACTTTTCTCTCAAATTGTTATGTTGACAATATAAATGGTAATGGTAAATGTTTGAGTGTAAAACCATGCAAAATAAAGTCAGCATATACAAACACAATCTAAAACTTTTTCAATTCATCTTTTCACCAAGATTGTTGTGACAAAATAAAGAAAAAAAAAAAATTTTGTTTATAAAAATGCAAAAAAAAGCTACACAAATGCTACAGCAAAACAAAAACTTTTTACTATGCACATTTTTTTTGTAGTAAAAATGCATTTCTTTTGCAGTTATGTACCATTTAAAAATATATACTACATATAATTATAAATTATATAAACTTTTTATTTGCATTTTAAGTCAATACTTTAAATTTACACTGTCAAAAATAATTATATTTAATAATATAATTGTCAACAATTGTACAACATTCTATGTTTGAACATTATATATATATATATACAGTGTTGGGGGTAACGCATTGCAAGTAACGTGAGTTACGTAATAAACTAGTAAAGTAACGCATTACTTTTTAATTTACAAGAGAATATCTGAGTTACTTTTTCAAATAAGTAACGCAAGTTACTCTTTTTTTCCAATTTATTGATTGACAGCTCTCCTGTCCTCATGTTGAGAGAAATCAGAAGA